GATTTTCGTTAAAGCAGAGCACACGATGTGTGTATGTCTTGCTTTATAGAAATTGTGATTTTCGTTAAAGCAGGGCACGTACATACACACGTGTGTATGCCCTGCTTTATAGAAGTTGTGATTTTCATTACATACATACGTGTGTATGCCTGTATGCCCTGCTTTATAGAAGTTGTGATTTTCTTTAAAGCAGGGCACACATACGTATATATTAGTTATTTATGCCTTCCAATACTCAAAATAGCTGCTATATTTTCCAAACTTTTTTCGTTAATAACTTTTTAACGAATAACGAGCGCGGGCTGAAACCTTCTGAACCTCACTCAGGAGAATGACCTTAACAACATACTAAAATATTAAGGTTATCCAAGGTGATCCTCCCCATCTAAACAATTACCATATTTATGCATTATAAGTATGCATACGTTTAAAATTCGCACACTTTTGCATGCGCGTGCGGCCGCGAAGCATGTTCATGATCGCTACATCACGTCGGTATGACAGGATTTCTAACTTAAGAATCGTCAACTTTAACGCTAAATATCTTGCTTTGCAGGGCAGACCGCCGCATTTTTTTGCCAGATTCTTTCGTTTCGTGCCAAAATGCGTCGAATGAGCCTATTTTTATTAATTTTTGAGGTGCAGTAGCTATTCTATATAAATACCCAGAAGTTTTATCTTCAGTACTAAAAGTAAGTACTTCATTGTACTTTTTAATATAAAATTTTTAATTGGTATAAACGGAAAGTCATCTAAAATATATTTGACAGGAATGATGTCCTTTTTGAATATTGAAAGATGTAAAGTTCTTCAAGTAAGAGTTTGGATTAGGACTGTTACTCTTCGACAACTTTGAAGCTTCGAATAATTTGAACTTTTGAAGTTTACGGTGTCTTCGAAGCTTCGAAAAATACATTTGCGACATAAGCGACATAATTGCAACATTCAAAATTTTATTCGGATTTTGTCATATAATTTTATAAATGTGTGCCTATTGGGATGTTCAGTCGTGACGTAGCCGTGACGTCACAAGGCCAAGATGGCTGGCCTATTTTTGAAAGTAATAGAGCTATCACATATAAAGCTTACGTTTTTCATAAATAATTAGTGAAATAACGATGTGTGTGATAAAAAAAGTGCGATGGGTGAACATCTAAAAGACAGAGGGGCAAGGTTTTCTCCTAGAGACACAAAAAATCGCGATTCTTGCTGTGTATTTGGCTGCAAAAGCTATGGAAAAGATACCTCTGTGCGATTCCACATGTTTCCACTTAAAGGAAAGTTCTATATTGAAAAAAAGACATGTTTGGAAATATAGAGAAGATTGATGTTCGAAAACAATGGCAGAGAGTATTGAAAATATCAAAACCAGAGTGGATAACCAAAAAGTGGACAGTGTGTTCTTTGCACTTTGACAGGAGTGATTGACGTTCTGCCTGGTAAGTCAATATGATAATAACTGAACAATAACAAGTAAAATATATTCATTGAATATTAATGAGTAATATTAGTTATAATAAATTGTATATTAAATGTAGTATGTAAAAACAATTCACCGATTTTTTAAACGCAAAAGTATTTCAAACACTCCTGTTATCAATTGAAGAATAATAATAACAAATAAAATTTTATTAATATTTTAGATATGCCGGCAAAACGGAGGGTTTTGCAGAAGACTGCTATCCCTAAATACAATTTGCCACAAAGGCAACAAAGTGAGGAAGAAAAAGTTGTAGAAGAAAAAAAGAAGAAAAATAAGAAAAACAGAGAAACGAGAAGAATGAATCGTGAGAAGCTGAAAGAAAGCAAGGACCATGTCCAGGATTTATACAAACTTGTAATGGATCATCAAGCACAGCAATCTGAGGACCTGGAAGACATACAATGTAATGAGGAAGGCGAGCCCAATTTATCAAACCCATTTGTCGATGCAGGAACTCAAACAGATAGTGGTGTAAACGGATGTGAACCAATGTTTGTCAATAAAGATGTACAAACCGGAAGCATAAACGTTTGTTACTTGATTAAGAATGATAAAGATTTAAGTACGATGACTGGTATTGAGAACTTCGGTATCTTGAATGCTATTGTAGATATTTTAAATACTGTGTATCCAATTAAAAAGTCAACTTATGATTACAAATCAAAAGTAATTTTGACATTCATGAAGCTAAAACTTAATTTATCGTATTATGCTCTAGCCGTGTTATTCACGGGCATTAAATTGACTCAAATAAGAAATGTTTTTCTTGAAATGTTGACACTTCTGGATGATGTTTTGCAGTATGCCGTAGTATTCCCAAGTAAAAAGGAGATTCATAAAAACATGCCCACATGCTTTGAGGATTTTAAAAACACGCGAGTAATGATAGATTGCACAGAAGTTTCGATACAAAGGCCAAAAAATGTCTGTTGTCGTAAAATAGCGTACTCGAATTACAAAAGAACGTACACTGTAAAAATTATGACTGGCGTAACAGCTGGGACTATAAGTTTTTTAAGCAGAGCATATGGGGGGAAATATTCTGACAAATTAATTTTTGAGCAAAGCGGTTTAATTAATCTTGTTGAAAAAGGCGAAGCAATCATGGTAGACAAGGGATTTTTAATTGACCATATTTGTTTAGAAAATCAAGTAATATTGATTAGACCTCCTTTTCTAAGAAACAAAAAACAATTTAGTAGACAAGAAGCACTTTTGAATGCAAAAATTGCAAAAGCTCGTGTACATGTCAAAAGAGCGAATCAGCGTTTAAAACTGTTTCGCATATTGATCGATAAAATGCCTAGTGGATTAGTTTCTCGAGTGAATGAGATATTTAGAATTATATCAGCTATTGTAAATTTGAGCTCTCCTATTTTAAAAGATTGTCAATTTACCACATTATAAATTTATTTCTTAAAACTGTAAAATATATTCAGTGTTCTTAAAAGCTTTCTTTCTCTCTCATGTTTTATTTTGTTTAAGATTATTTAAGATTAATAGAACCTACTCGTTTATATGATCACTGGGGATAATAAATAACACCAAAAAAATTGTTTATTTTTTTGATTATTTAATTAATCAACCATCATCCAAACGTACATTATGGAGCATGTGCTCAAAATAAGCGAGTTTCACATTTTTCAACAGATCCTTAACATATATTTCATCATAGTCTACTGGAATCACAACTATTTCATGATCAAATGGAGAATAGATAACAAAATCCGTTCTTTTTTTTTTTAATTTAAGACTGCCATACCAAATTGTATCTGTCCATAGTATTCGTGCTTTTCTTTTAATATAAGATTCTTGATTCTTGCAGTGTATTGAGGATTCTCAAGTGCGTTTAAAGAATCGTCTCGGGACGATTCAGGGAGCTTTACACTAAAAGACTTCGAAGATTTATCTCGTTTTAAATATTTCAAGTCATTGAGAACATCATTTATTTTACTGGTCTTACCGGAATAGGGACACTTGATCTCTAATAGTCTCACCGGTTTGTTGTCTTGAAAAACAACACCATCCGGTGAGTAGCCTAACCAGGGATAATGTCCGAGATTACAAGACCACATTCTACTACCTGCCATTGTGAGATTTCATATCTCTTCCTTGCAAGGGGTTCATTTGCAAGACTATGCATTACATAAGTGTTCACAATTTTTTGGGGGTAAAAATACTTTAGGGATTTGTCTTTCCAATTAGGATTGGTTTTCTTATTGGTGAAGTATGTGTACAGAGCGTAGCATCTGGAGCCCGTTACTCTAAACTGTCGTTCTTGTTTCCAAACAGAAATAGATGCTTGGCTTAATTCGCAGATACGTAATACGTCTTTTTCTAAGCTTTTTAGTTTCTTTTTGCAACATGTGGCTAAATCGTCTACTAAAGGCTTCTCATTGGAAAGTGCATGCATTTCTTTCGAAGGTAAATTTTGGACAATGATTTATCTCGGGAGAAGAGTTTACAGGAATCTGGGTCATAGAGACTGGACTATGCCTCCCACACCTACATATAATAATTACATATGTAAAAAAATTAAACAAGTAAAATGAATTGCATCATGTAAAAAAAATATACTTGCAGAAATAGATAAAAATTGATTGGATATAATCACTAAAACAAAAATGTGCAAATTCATTGTGTTAACGAAATATTAACAAAACGTCAGTATAAATTTAGCAATAATAAAATATGTCGAGTAAAAATAGACAAAAAATAATTGAAAATTTACGTTAAGAAGTTCCACATGATTATAAGGTGAAAATTTACATAAAGAAGTTCTACATGATTATAAGATTTGCACCAATAAAAATAATTGATTCGATGTTTGTAAATGTATATCCTAACAATGAGTAAAACCTGATTATTTTGCTCGCTTACTCTGATATTTTGAAATACCAATATACTTGTAAAAAATTCAATTTGTGTCATACATGTGCTTTGTTAACGCTGATGGGATTGTAAACAATCTATTCTTGACGTAGTCTATCTGCTCATCAGTCAAAGTCAATTTCTTCTCACAAATATTGAAACACTTATGATCTTCCAGAGGTGCAGATTTATACCCATCTACAGCCGTGCTGTGTTGTATGTTCCAGATGCATTTTTTATCGGTGCAGGAAATATTCTCAAATTTATCGACATCATATCTAAAAGTTTACATTGATTAGAAACAGCATACTACTACATGTGTTATTGTTAACATACATTAATAACTTTTATATGTACTTACCGATTACAATGTAGCAAAACTGCAACCGTGTGTTTGCATTTTGCACTCATCCCTGCTTTGCAACTACATTTTGCGGATAATATTTTCCCTGATTTTAATATCACTATGTTTATTTCGTGAAGGGCACCTTTAACATTTGACATTTGAAGGCAATATGCAGTTAAATGCCATTTGTCTTTTTTTTTGTTTTTGAGGTTGTGAACTCCGGTTGGAGTTATAGACGCCTTCAGCCCCACCTTTGGACTATATAGCGTATTTAAGTGTTGGTCTGTTCTTTCTTCCACTTTATATGATCCTGTTCAATTTTTTAATGAATCTGAATATCACTGAAATTTTCATCCAATCTTCTCTCCTGATTATCTCAAAAATGTCTTCCGTTCCTCTAAGATTCCTGATCTCGAGCTCCTCGTTCAACCTTTCTTTCTGGTCGTCGTATTTTCTGCACTCCCATACCACGTGATTGATATCCTCCACGTAGTTTCCACATTCACAGTCAGGTGTCGCTATGTATTCCTTTCTAGCTAAGGACTCGTTCAAATTATAATGATTTGCTCGTATTCTGTTCATCCATGTGTAGAAATATCTTTCCGTTCTTATTTTGTGGAACCATGGTTTCTTCTTTTCTTCATCATAGTATCTTCTAAAGTAGTCTCTTCCCTTATAACTTGCTTCATTTTTTATTTTTTCTTGTGTTCTCCTTTTTGCTTCCTCCTTGAATATTGTCATATAATCTTGTATAGGTACTTCAATACTCTTATTATTGTCTTCTTCTGTTCCTGTTTTTGCTAATTTATCCGCCATTTCATTTCCCGTGAATCCTTTGTGAGACGGTATCCATGCATAGATTATTCTCTTATTGTATCTTGTTTTTATTTTGTGGTGTCTCCTTCTAATATCTAATATGTATTTATTTTTGTACACGTCTAATCTGTTGTTTTTAATTGCTTTTATTACTCCTTGGTTATCTGATAATATTATAATCATTTCCTCTTCTTCCTTATTTTCCCTCTCCAATTTGTCCTCTATTTTCCTTAGAGCTGCATTTATTGCGTATGCTTCTGCTGTATATACTGACGAGTTTTTTGGTAAACTTGCATAATATGCATCTTCTTCTTCTTCTTCTATCACTATTCCTGCTCCAACACTTGGGTTTCCCTCGATCCTTGATCTATCCGTGTATATGAATTTGATGTTCTTCTGGTTATATTTGTCCTTAAATTCATCTATCAACTCATAGTCTTCTTTTTTATATTTCATCTCTTCGATTTTTCTTTTTTCCTTTATTTCCGCTTTATTCTTGTAGATTTCTCCCACTTCTAAATCCGTTTCAATTTCTTCCGTTAGTATATCGTAATTCGTTTCCCATAGTTCGTAAGTTTCTTTTTCTTCTCCTATTTCGTTTCTATATTTTTTAATTTCGTCCCATGCCATTGTAAGCGTACTTTTCTTCTTTTGTGGAAATCTCAATCGTTCTTTAGCTTCTGCTCTCGATAAGTTTTCTAAACTTTTTTTAATTTCTTTGCTTCCGTACTTTTTGACCTTCAGGCAAAAGTTTTTTGCCAACATCAAGGCTCTTTCACTTAATATTTCTACTTTTGCTTCCGCGATTATTACGTTTGTCGGAGTACTATTTCGATAACCAAGGGCTAGCTGTCCTTAATCCTAAAAATTAACCTCTTTCTAGTTTTATTTTTAATCTTTCTAAATTAGGTGCATATATAAAGCAGCCATAATCTGCTACAGATCGGACTAAACTTTTGTACAAATTCAAAGCTGTGTTGCAATCAGACCCTCTCGTTATATTATTCAGATATTTAAGAATATAATTTGCTTTTTCTATTTTTGCCCTTATTTCTGCTATGTGACTTTCGAACTTTAGTTGGTTATCTATCCTAATACCTAGAAACCTAGCTTCTTTTTTACATTCTATTTTTGTTCCCTGAAGTTCTATAAACATTTCCTTATCTATAACCCCGTATCTGTTAAATTCTATTAAATTGGTTTTTTGAGGTTCTAATTCCAATCCTATTGCACTAAGATTTTCTGCCATCATTTTGACTGCTTGTTCTAGTTTTCTTTTGTTCTCTCTTTTATTTTTTTCTTTTACGTACATTCCTATGTCGTCTGCAAATTCCATATCTATTACGTCTATCTCTAAACCCTTATCTATCTCATGTGTATTTACTTCATAAAGCGCTGGGCTTAAGACTGATCCCTGAGGTAATCCTTTTTTCACTATTTTAGTTACTGTTTTTTCCCCATCGACGATAAATTCTACTTCTCTGTTTCCTAACCATATATCTATAAAAGTTAACATTCTTATTGGACAATCCATTCCTATTAGTTTATTTTTTAATATGTGAAATTGCACGTTGTCATAAGCCGCTGATACATCTAGGAAAGCTGCCAAACAGTATTCTCCTTCCAATATTGCCGTTTTTGCATCTGTAATTTTCGCTAAATTTTCAATACATGATTTTCCTCTTCTAAATCCATTTTGTAATTTGTTGAATTTTCTTTCCTTTTCCATCCACCATATCAGTCTTTCATTTACTAGTCTTTCCATCAGTTTTCCCATACATGAAGATAACGAAATTGGTCTTACTTTATTCTTATTTATCTTATCAATGAAGAATACTTGATATTTTCTCCATTCTTCTGGAAACCCTTTTCCTTTCCAAACTTCATTCAATATTTCCAATAAAATCTTTAGAATTTCTCTTGGTAGTTCTTTTATCATTTTGTAGTCTATTCCATCTTTTCCTGGAGCTGAATCCTTTTTTATCATTTTAATTGCTCTCATCAGTTCTTCCTCTGAAAAATCCTTATCTAGTACGTTATCTTCTTCTTTTTCAGGTATTTTTACTTTTAATGTCACACTTGGGGCTGCTAGTTGTTCTATATCCTTCAGGATTAATTCTTCTCTTTCACCAAATTTCCATTTGTTCCATTCTACTTTATTTCTTCCTTTTTTAAAGATCCTCATCATTTTCCACACATATGACATATTACTATATTTTGTTAGTCCATTACAAAATTTTTTGAAACTCTCTCTCTTTTTTCGTTTTATCGTTTTTCTCATTATAGCTCTACTTTTTTTATACTCCACATAAGTATGAATGTTTCCTTTTTTTCGGTATTCTTCCATTTTTTTCCTTCTATCCTTCTTTATTTCGAAGCATTCCTTGTCCCACCATATTGCATGTTGTTTTCTTCCTTTTTTCTTTACATTTCTTTTGTTAATATTTAGATTTCCTCTTCTCTTTTTTCTAGAGGTGTTGTTCTCTTTCTCCTTCTTACCTGAGGCTTCTTTTACGGTTTCAATAATATATTTCATCAGTGTACTATATTTAATTTGTAAGTCTTTTCCTAAAATTTCTTCTTTTATTTGGTCTACCTTTTTTTCCAATATATTCTTATATTCATTTCAACACGTTTTTTCGTTCGCTATTCTGTTCGTTTTCTTTATGTAAGGAATTTCTTCAATTTCTATCTTTATTTTTATCGGAAAATGGTCCGATCCCCAAGCATCTTTTGCTTGAGTATATTCAATCTTATCAATGACATTTGTTTCTGAAAATATTAGATCCAAATTTGAAGGGTTTTGATTTATATCATTTAGCCTAGACATTGTATCTGTGTTTACGCATAAAAATCCCGCATTAAAAAATTTTTCCTGTAATCCTTCTCCATTTGGTTCTGTGTTATTACAATTCCATAATATATTTTTTGCATTAAAATCACCCATTATTAATGTATCCATTCCTTTTCTATTAAAGTTTGTTATTTTTGTCCATTCTCTTGGATTTACACTTTTATTCGGTCTTCTATATACCCCAATTATATTCATATTTGTACTTTCGTGTTTAATCCTAATTCCACATATATCAAAGTCTTCATCTAGATCATTCCATTCTTCTATTACCTCTATTTTTATGTTTTCTTTACAAAATATTAGAATACCTCCACCGTTACCTCTGCTGTCTACACCAATTATATTATATCCTTTTACTTTTATTTTTTTGTGGTCTTTTACTTTAGATTCCGTAATTATAGTTATATCTGTATTTTTAATATATTCATCCACTTCCTCTTTTTTTCCTATATATCCTCTAGCATTCCATAGTACTATTTCAAGTTTTTCTTTCTTGTTCATAATTGTTTATTAAGTTCTTTGTCTTTTTAATGAATTGTAGTTATAACAAGCTTCTCCTTCTGCATTGACCTCCTCCGTAATATCTTCTGTGGATGTATTTTTAATTCCTATTGTCCTTTCCACTTCTTGTTGAACTATTCTTTGAATTTGCTCTCTGATGAATCTCCTCCAATCTTCTTCTTCTAGTACCTCTTTTATGTTTTGATAGTTTTGTTTGTTTTCATTATTTCTTTCTCCTACTTCCCTCCTTTGTTCCTCATTGTTATTTTTCTTTATATAATCTTCTTTCTTTCTCTCTTTCCAGATTGGTAGTCTACTTATTTCTGTTTCTTTTGTTCTTGCTATCCTATTTCTGTCGTATTCATTTTCCTTAATTTTATTTATTGTTCTACTATAATATTCATCCTTATTTGTTGGTTTAGTTATTCCTGCGTTTGCTACAGCTTTTGCATATGTCCTTCTTTCGTTGTTCTCGTAGTTATTGTTTTCTCTATTTATTGGGTTCTTATTTCTTAGTCTCTCGTCTATTGTAGGCCATGCCTTTCTGTTATATTTATCATACTCTTGTTCTTCTGCATCTTGGCCATTTATTATTTTAATTGCTTCTGTGTATGTTGCGTTTTTTTTAGCCATTACTATTTTTATTTTTTTGTTCTTAATATATATAGGGCATTTTCTATCCGTTGCCCTATGTTTTCCTTTACAGTTTACACATTTGTATTCAAAATCGCACGGACCATGAGCCGTGCTGCCGCATCTTCCACAAAGGTCATTGGATTTGCAGTTTTTCTTGAAGTGACCATATTTAAAACATCTGAAACATTGACTAACTGGTTCTACGTAGGATCTTACCTTTAAGCTACCAAATCCCTCAAATATCGAAAATTTTTCCGGCAGTTTGTTTCCCTTTATTGTGATTATTATATTATCTGTTTCCTTAATCTCTATTTTTTTCATCTCTCTATTATATACCCTTTTTTTCATGACCTCTAGTTGTAAAATTTTATCTTTTCTAACTAAATTTTCCCAGAGCTCCTCTATGCTATACGGCCAATCCGCGATTACCCCTTTACAGTATCTCGACCTATTATCTATATATACTTGTAATTTATCTTTGTACTCTTTGTTTAACCTTTCTATACATCTATTTGCTTCTTCATCATTTTTAAATTTAAGTCTAGCTAGATTAAACCTATCCATCTCTAAGTTATCTGGAACGCATCTAATGCCGTGCAACAAGCTTCGAATTTTTACTTCATTCAGTCCTTTCTTCGCGCACGTGTTTTCCCTAGTAAGTTTACAGCATACTATTTTATAACCTTTTAACCCTGGTTCGAAATATTTACTCGACAATTATTTGGCAATTTCTTCTTTTCTTAAATTACGATCCTTTTTAACAAGCTTGATGTTGACGTATATTATTTCCCTGAAGGTATAATTTCCGTTGCTTTCTCTTTTGTCACTCTCTCTTCCATCGTTGTTTTCTCTTTCTTCACTTTCTCTTTCGTCTGTTAGTACATTGTTTACTAATTGCATCTCATCCTTGTTTCTCGAACCTTCCTGATCCGTTTCCATGAGCATCTCCGTGTTTCCAGTGTTCGTATCCGTCTTGTCCTTTTTCCCCTTGTTTTTATCAGTCATCTTGTCTTCTTTCTTTGACATCATCATTTTCTGGCCTGCTTTATCACTTCTTTTAACCATGTTTACGTTACTAAGTGTAGGATCATTTCTAATTTCTTTCGATATTAATTCGTTCTTGTTATTACTAACATAACCTCGCGCTTGTTTCCCGCCTAAATAACCCCCCTTCCGAGGGGGGGCAGTAAAACTTTTCTTAATTATTTCTTTTTTTGGTTTAACTTCGCCTCTAGGGTACCCTCTAATCTCTCTTCTATCACTCTCGACTAATAACACCCTATTACTATCGTTAGCTAACTTTCTCGACACGTCTACTCTCTACAGCGTTCGCCATGCGACCAGGTTCGTCAAATCCCATTTGTCATTATCTTGAGAAGTTATCCCGCATGTTAATAAATGTCCACAGCACAACAAATTTTCTCCTTCCATGAAATTCCTTGAAGAAAGGGTGCACTGTGCAAAT